TGGTTGTGGAGTGATAATGATAGTTGGTTATTGGTTTTGATACCAGGAAATATAGAGGAAGGTTAACTGAAAGTGTATTGATGACAAATGATTTGGATAATCATTGGACACTGCCTATGGATGGCAGCTCTGCCACCTGGCAAATTCCTAAATTCTCGCTTTGCTGAGGGGCAAAGAGCCAATTCCAACTTCAGCCTGCTTGAATTTGGATCCACCTGGACACTGGTGCTCCCCTGCAGTGGAATCCTGTATCTGCTCCAAAAGATGAAAGCATGACACCAAGCTGGATTCTGTACATGCAGAACCACCAAGGTAGATAAACCATTGCTGAGACAAATCCAGGGGCCCTGCAGGGAAAACTCCCTTGTGGATACTGAGGGTTCAGTGTCTGGGCTTTGGGTGATCCCACTGATGCAGCAAGGGCAGGGAAACCTCCTGGCCAAAGCTCACATCAAAGCCCTCCTGCTGTGGGGTACAGAGACAGTTTGAGCTCCAGGACTCCCAGAAGTTTAATGCACAGATTTTTCTTCATGAATGCCAAAACCTTTGGGCTGAGTTTGTCTGCTTCACTCAGTGGAGAGAGCCCAGCACAGCTGGAGATAAAGGAGGAGGAGAAGAGATCACCAGGCTGCCAGTGAAGAAAACCGGATGGAAAAACCCCAGGCAGAGGAGAGTGCAGCAAAACCAGTTATCTTGGATGGATCAGAGCCAAGGAGATTAAAAGCAAGAGGAAAAGGAACAGCAGGGTTAGGAGGAGCAGCCTGAGAAGCCCCAGCTGTTGTCACACTGGTGAGAAACCACAGCCATATTTGGGATCAGTTGGTTTGAAAACACTTGTAAGAAACAAAAATCCTGCAAATTGTTCGTAATTTTACACTGCAAACTGCAAGAAAGGTGACAAAAGGAGAGAGAAATGTTCCTCTTCATGGCAGGAGGAAGCAGGAAAATAAAAGTCACTGGCTTTAGGCATCCAAGAGAAACATCATCATTCTGTATCACTGAGATTAGCATGAGCCAAAGTGTCCAAACTGTCCAGGACACAGGCTGTAAACCCTCACTGTGAAATCATCCACTTGGCCTGCAGGCTGAGCTTGAGGCTATTCCCAAAAGCAAAGAAACCTTTATATTCCAGCCTTGTATTTAAACAAGATAAAGTTAGCTTTGTTCTTTCTTCTTTTTTTTTTTTTTTTTAAGCATTTTTGGCAGCTTCTTGAGCTCCTTGCAACTGCAGCAAGCACCCCCTGGTTTTGCCAGGCAGAATGAAAGGAGCCTGTTTCTCCTTCAAATTTCTGGTGTTATTGAGACCCCAGATTTTGTAGGAGGAGTAGGTAACAGTTCCACTTAGAACAGATTCTAAAAAACAACCTGGTAGCTTTGCCCAAGAGCTGAGACCAAAAGCTGACAAACTAAACCCAGTAGGGGTTTCATGCATCAAAGCTCCTCTGAGGTTTATTAGAGCCAGCAGCATTCTTAACACCCAATCTCTTCCAAACAAAACCACAAGGGGCTTGGCTGCCCTGGACAGACCTGCTTCCTGCTTTCCTCTTGCTCCACACCAGCCCAGAGCTTGAGGGGAGGTTGGCATTCACTGGGTGGCCTCCCAGGAGAGCTTGAGTCCTTCACTGTCCCACCACAGACCTGAGAGATAATGGAGGGGAGCAGCATCAGCATCACCACAGCTCTTTGTCATCTTCCCCCAGCAAAATGCTCTTACTGGAGGGCAGGGCCTCTGTGTGATCCCTCCAGACCTCAACAGGATAACCCACCTTGGAATGGGCTTTATCTGGGGTCCAGGCTGGCCATGAACAGGAGAGATGTGCCACTCTGAGCACCAAAGCTTTGTTAAAACATCTCCAAAGAAATCCTTGGAGGAAGGTTCTGGTTTACTTTAAATATGGATGCACATCTCCCCATCCCAAACTTGTATTATGAATTACTTGAAGTGTGAAAAAAACCCTCAGTGTAAGGGGAATTCCACAGCCAACATTTCCCAAAACCTCAGTGTAAACCTCAGCACAACCTTCTGCTGTGTCCCTATCTGCCCTGCCAGCATTTCTGCTCCAAGCTGGACTAATACCCAGCCAAGGCTGGGCACACACTGCCACAGCCACAAAGCCTTTGCCAACCACCCCAGGCAATCAGGATGAACCATTTCCACCCCCCAGATGCTCAGAAACAGCTGCCTGAAAACAAAAGAGGAAGGATAAATACATCAAGCCCTCCTCAACCCCTCCCAGGGCAGGGCCTGCCACCCCCAGGCACCGGGATAGCCACAGCCATCTCCTTCACCTGATACAAAGCTTTGGGGGGAGGAGTTTTTGGGGTGGTTTTTTTGGTTTTTGTGTTTTTTCCTCCTTTTTTCAAGGTTTCCGACTGATTTGATCTCTTTTGATCTCTTCCACCCTCAGGACTTTTAGCATAAGGTCTGAGCATGGCTCTGGGTATGATGTGACAGCACACCCTGGTTTCAGCTTTCACCTGGGCAGCCGCCAAGTGGCATCACAAGCAGGCAGGAACCCAAGGCCATGAAAGCAGGGAATGGCAGTGCCAACCTCACTGAGCTCCAGTGCTGCTCCCAAACCTGCTTTGAGGATGGTGGGCTGAAGAGTTAAGCAGGCCTGAGGGAGCAAATGCTCCTCCAAGAGCAGCGTCTTCCAGACACCAAAATAAATTTATGATCCAAACCACTCAAGACCAACTTTGCACGAGTCTCACTTTTTTAAACTCAATTTTGATGTAGAAGCCATCATCCTGCCCAGTGGCACGTGCAGCTGTGCCCTGCTCCAGCAGCTCAGCAGGCAGATCGTGGTGTCCTGCCAGCAGCAGCTCCTCACTCTCCTCCATGGGCACTGCAGGTGCTGGGCAAGGCTCTGGATCCTGGAGAAGGGAGGACATGGGTGTAAACATGGAGTTGAAATCTGGCTGCTTGGTGCCAAGGGAAAGCTGAACACCCTTGGAGCAGCTTTAGCACACAGGAGTGTGGGATC